AATCAATAAGGGTGAATTCTATATCCTGAGCACAGCAAACACTTTCTTCTCAAGTACCATTACATTTTTATAAAAATTCATCTCTTATAAGGCCATAAAGAAAATCTACATAAATTCCAAACAGAAGGGGAAAAAATTAGACCTGGTGATGGAGAGATAATACAGTGGGTAGGGCATTTGCCTTCCACACAGCCAACCCGGGTGCGATCCCCGGCATCCCATATGGTGCCCTGAGCTCCACCAAGAGCAATTGCTGAGTGTAATGCCAGGAATAACCCCTGAGCACTGCCGGGTATGACCCAAAAAGGAAAAAAAATAAAATCAGGCTCCATTCTGGTTATAATAGTGCAATAGAGCTAGAAAGTAATAACTAAAATGGTCTCTAAAACATTTACCCTGTTGTTGTTGGGAATTTCAAATGGTAGATATCTTGTGGGATAGTAAGATTTGTTTGTTTTGTTTTTTGGGTCATACCCAGCAGTGCTCAGGGCTTAGTCTTGGCTCTGCACTCAGGGGTCACTCCTGGTGGTCTCAGGGGACCATATGGAATGCCAGGCATCAAACCTGGGTGGGCCATGTACAAGGCAAATACCCTACCCTCTGTACTCTTTGGCCCAGGATAATTCTGTGTGTGTGTGTATGTGTGTGTGTGTACACGCACATGCACGCATGTGTGTGCATGTGTGTATGTTGGGGTGGGGAAGCATTCTATAGCGTTGTCTAGGCCTTAGCAGCACATCTCCTCTGTGCCCACTACAAGTAAGCCCCATTTATGGCATAAAAAAATGTCTCCAGGAGGCAGAGGGATAGTACAGCAGGTAGGATGTTTGCCTTGCATGCGGCTAACCCAGGTTCAATCCCCGGCATCCCATATGGTCCCCCATGCACTGCCAGGAGTAATTTCTGAGTGTAGAGCCAGAAGTAACCCCTGAGCATTGTTGGGTGTGACCCAAAAAGCAAAAAAAAAAAAAAGTCTCCATACATTTTCAAATGGCCATTGAGAGGCAAAGTTGCCCATGACTGAGAGGTCTTTTCTATCAGCCTTACTATAAACTCTGACAAGATACTTATGACTCCCTCCCCATAATCTGTCTGTGCAGAGACCCATACTACCAAGTCTCATTTAATGAAAGCTGCTATGGCCAGGCACGTGTTCTGTGCCTCTATATTGTATTATAAAGAAATTTTTCAGGGGATGGGCCAGAGAGATATAGTATATCATGTTAGGCATTTGCTTTGCATGTGATTGGCCCTGCTTCAATTCCTAGCATCCCATATGGTCCCCTGAGCACCACCAGGAGTGATCCCTGAGTGCAGAGCCAGGAGTAATTCCTGAGAATTGCCAGCTGTGCTCCCCCACCAAAAAAAAAGAAATTTTGCAGAGGAGGACTAATTATCAGATAACTGAAGCATTGTGAAAATGGTTGAGTCAAGGGGGACCGATTGACTGTTATATTTTTACTAGAAAACTGAAAAGAAGCTATGAAAGGATAAGGTGAAAATAGGACAGGGCAACAAAATGTGTGCGAAGAGGAGCAGCAAGAACAGATCAAAGAGCAGAGAGAAGTCATGGTGACCATGGAGTCAGCCAACAAAGGCAGTCAGGCTCACTATTCGTGGATGGAGTTCTTTCACAATTTCGGAAGCCAAATAAATATGTTCTATTTTGACACAGCAGCTAGTCCAGCTCTTGGGGCCACAGCAACTCAAATAAATCAGACTCTTTTAATAGTCTAGTGGTACCTTATTATCTCTTAAGTATTTCAATAGTGCATTATTCTGAGCAAGTCACAGTGATAGCTAACCTAAAAGTGGAGGAACAAGTCAAAAGCTCTGCAGTGAAAGCAACAGGGCCAATACCTAATCCCTGGCAAAATTGTGTTAACAAGGTGGTATGGATCCAACCTGGCTGTGGAGACTGGTGGGCACATGGCCAGATCATGTGGAATTCCTGATGCCCAGTCAAGGGCACCTCTCAGGGGATCCTGTTTGGGTGTGTAAGTCTAACAGGGTAGGGCAGGGGAAGCCAACACATGGACTGAGCCGGGACAGGTCAGTGAGGCTCAGCTAAAAATCTGAAACAAAAGCCTAGACTTGAAGAAATCTCCATGTTCCCAAAGTTCTAGAACTTTGGTCTGTAACTCTGCTGATTCCTTCTCTCCCCAACTCAGATTTCTCCCAGGTGGAAAAAGCATCCAAATAATAACAGAAAAATCCTCCATACTTTCTGCTGCCCCTTCTTGACCATTGATATGATTCTAGATCACGGCTTCTTAACCCTTTCCACTTGTGACCCCTTTTTCACGAGAAATTCTTCTGCAATGTTGGCATTACCCGGCTGCCTTGGTCATCTGCTCATCCCATAGTCTCCTGATTTTGTCCACCACTGGCATACCAGTATCAGTCAGGTCTTTTTTCTCTGCCTTGACCTCTGCGTCTAAGCTGTATATGACAGCAGTCCACTAAGCATTTCTCTGGAAGGCCCTGGACACCGCAAGATACAAAGCCACTCATGATCTCATCCCCAAATAGCTCTTTCTTCCTAAATTTTCTCACCACAGTGAGTGTCAAAACGAGTCATCTGCTGCTTATCCCAGAAACCAAGGAATGGTTTGTAGCTCTTCCTTCTTCCTACGGGCCTGTCACCCACTGAGTCACTCAACTCTGTCTTGACCCTTGTCTTCTCTCTTCCTCTCTGAGCGTCTGACTCTCACCTTCAGCTCTGTTTCCAGCCATTGGTCTCAACCCAAAGCATGACCATATCCCTCCATGGCTTCCATCTCTACTTCCAGCCTTTGGCCAAAGGACACCAGATCATAGTGGGCAAGTAGATAGCAGTTAGTGCTAAGTGAGGCTACAGTCAGTGAAAGGAACTGGTTTTTGAGTGAATGAGGCTATACAAACAGGTTCATGAGCAGGGCAGATGACGACAGGAACACAACAGGTCCTACCAGTTGGAGAGACTGTTTTGGTCCTCCCCAAATTGGCATCAAACATGTCAGCACATGCTGAATCCTGATGTCCAATGTACACAGTAGCCTTTGAAGGTGATTATGTCACAAGCATGGTCATAAATGGGAGACCCCTCTCAGGCCCTCAGCGTTCACCTCCCCAATGAGGACATAGAAAAAAACCTGTCCGCTGTGGTACAGGAAGTGGGTCCCCAACAGATCAAAGAGTAGCTCCTTTGATAGTCTAATCCTGGAATTTGCAGCTTCTAGAGCAGCGGAAACATATGAAAGTGTGTGTGAAAGTCCCTGCGCTATTGTGGTCACACAGCCCAAAGAGACACAGACCTTGCAACAAAAGCCAAAGGACAAGACAAGTATCCCCAAGTGAGAAAAGCAAGGGAGGCCAGGAGGAGTGGTGAGGTAAATCTATGAAGGAGGAATCAGGGAACAGGTGGTAGGGAAGTGCCTCAGCAGGAGACATTCAGCACTGGACAAAGGGAATAAAAGAGTCAGAGAGACTGAAACTCAAAGGTCCTATTACTAGAAGCCCAGGAAGCCAAGGGTCAAAGCAGGGACACCGGCGGGTGTGTGCGTATACACACACACACACACACAACTACCACCACCACCACACCAGACACCCCCTCTACACACCACAGACATACCTCAGCACACAGCCACAACACACAGATATACCACAACCGCACACAATGTACCCACACTATATACATCAACACACACCCCACACTAAGCACCCCCGCTATATACCACAGATGTACCCCAACACACACACCCACACACACACCCCATAGCAGACATCCTTACTACATCCCACATCCCACAGACTTATACCCACACCAGGCACTGCACACTTTACATAAGACATACATACTATATACCAGATACCCCAACACATATATCCTAAGGCATCCCACCCCCCCACCAGACACCCGAAAGTTGTTACACCCCAGCACACACCCGTCACAGACACACTCGAGTTAGGAGGTGGTGTGGGAGAGCTGCAAGCAGGCAGGCAGAGGCAGGGTGGTCGTCTGGGATGGGGCCCCAGTCTGCCAAGGGGCGTCTGGGATGGGGACGGGAACAACTGCCCTCCACTGCCTCTGGACCCTGGGCAAAAGCTGCACGTGGAACAAGGTGCAAGCCAGCCCAGGGGCAGCAGGACCGGGCACTCTGGACTGAGGTGCTGTCGTGGGCGGAACCGAGGAGGACGCGGTTGTGAGCAGCCGGGGGCGAGGGGCTGGGGGGGGGCACGGGGAGCTGAGGTGCCTGGTCCGGGTTCGTGGGGTGTGAGAGCAGGGGGGATCAGGGAGGGGACGAGGGGTCTGAGGCCGGTGCTAGCAGAATCCGAGGCGCCAAGGGGTGGGGGTGGAGGGGCGAGGAGCGTGGGTCTGACGGGGACGCGGGGAGCTGCCGGGGACGCGCGGGGCGGAGAGGGGCGCGCGGGGCCGAGAGGGACGCGCGGGGAGCTGACAGGGGCGCGCGGGGCTAAGAGGGACGCGCGGGGAGCTGACAGGGACGCGCGGGGCTGACAGGGGCGCGCGGGGCCGACTGACAGGGACGCGCGGGGCTGAGAGGGACGCGCGGGGAGCTGACAGGGGCGCGCGGGCTGACAGGGGCGCGCGGGTCTGAGAGGGACGCGCGGGGCTGAGAGGGACGCGCGGGCTGACAGGGGCGCGCGGGGCTGACAGGGGCGCGCGGGGCCGAGAGGGACGCGCGGGCCTGAGAGGGACGCGCGGGGCTGACAGGGACGCGCGGGCCTGAGAGGGACGCGCGGGGCCGAGAGGGACGCGCGGGCTGACAGGGACGCGCGGGCTGACAGGGGCGCGCGGGGCCGACTGACAGGGGCGCGCGGGGCCGGGGCCGAGGCCGGGGCGGCGGCCGAGGCGCGCGCGAGCGGGGCCGGGACCCTCCCCCGCGCCGGCCGCTGATTTGCCGCCGCGCCCCCCGCCCCGCCCGCCGCCCGCCGCCCGCGCTCCGCCGCCGCCGCCGCCGCCGCCGCTGCCGCCGCCGCCGCCGCCGCCGCCGCCGCCGCCGCGTCCCTCGTCGGAGCGGCCGCCCGCCCGGCCGGCTCGAGGCCCGGAGCGGCTGGTGCGCGGCGGCGACGCGGAGCGGGCAGGGCGGCGGCGGGATGGCGCGGCCGCGGCCCCGCGAGTACAAGGCGGGCGACCTGGTGTTCGCCAAGATGAAGGGCTACCCGCACTGGCCGGCCCGGGTGAGTACGCGGCGCGCCCTCCGCCATGATGGCGCCGCGCCCGCCGCAGGCCCGGCGCCTCCATGTTGGGCCCGGCCGGGCTCCCGCGAGCGGCCGGCGCGGTCCCGGGGCGGGCGGCTCGGACCCGGGGCCGGGGGCCCGCGCCCCGCGCCCCCGTCCCCAGGAGGAGCCCCGCGTTTCGGGCCCGTTCCCCAGGCGGCGCGGAGGAGAAGTTTCCGCGCCCCGGGGCCGCGGTGGCCGTTGAGTCCGGGCGAAGTTCCCGGGCTGGAGTCACTGGGTCTCTTCGGGCATCGACCCCGGGGCTCAGAGGGGCCCGGGCCGGGGCCCGGGGACCCTCGAGCGTGGGGTCCGTCCCGAAGTGAGTCGCCGGCCGGGGCACGTGGCCCGGGGGTGGAGGCGCTGGCCTCGCGCGCGGCCGACCCCTGTTGCATCCCGCGCCCCCCGGAGCGGCCCCTCGAGCACCGCCGGGCGTGGCCCGAACGCAGGACTGGGGGGTTTGGGGTGTCCCTGGGGCGTCGCGCGTGAAGCCCGGGTCCGTCCACCGCGCCCCCAGACCCGGCCTGCACGGAGCCAGCTCAGTGAGTCGAGGATGATGAGCACCGCACGGTCGTACTCGTGGGACACTGTGACATCTTTGGAGGGGGCTGGGGGGCCGATCGAAATACCTCCCTAGACTCAAAAAAAAGACTTAAAATGTCGCTGATATGTTGTTGGCATGGATGGACCGTCTGGGGTCATTCCAAGCAGAACCAGCTGTGCCTCCCGGTGGACGTAAGATTCCTCCAAGTCGAAATTCCACACGGAGGCCAAAGGGGAAATCAGCTGAGAACGGGAACTCCATTAGGTCGTCCTTTGATAAGGGCAGACAGGAAAGGAAAGCTCTGTCCTCCTCCTTCGCATGATGCAGGAAATGACATGTCTGTTGTTTTCCTAAGCATCATCCTAGAGCCAGTGGCCTGGAGCAGCTTCCGAGGGAAGGAGAAGGTGGGAAAGAGACTGCAGTCCCTCTTCTGGTGATGCTGTTTGCTTCATGCCTTTTTTTTTATTTATTTAATTTCCCTCCAATTCTTAGACATCGCCCCCGTTTTAACACCCAAAGGTAAAGGGTGGTGTGAGAAAATACTAGCAAAGAAATCCCAGTCTGTTCACATTTCAAAAACACTCATTCACTGTGACCGTCAGAGGGTTCAGGTTGTGTGGAGGAGCTTCCCGACAGTGCTGGGCCCTCCGGAATGAAGATGCCAATGGGGCCCAGAGCACCCACTGGGAGCACCAAGCCCTGCTCCCGGCCAGGTGTGTTCTGGCCGCTTTGAAGCTTTCAGTTTACTCGCCTAAAACGGGGGCGCTTTTCAGCCCCCAGATTTCCACACCACCCATACTCTGCTGTTGGAAGATGTTCCTCTTTGAATTTCTTATTTTTCCCCTTTATCATATGGACTCATCTTGGTTTTCAACCCTTGAGTAGGCTTCAGTATTTTCCCCAATATTTTATCGCAAAAAATCTCAATCTGAGAGAAACTTAACAGCAAACACCCTTCTAAGCACCCACTTCCTACAAGTAGCATTTTACTGTGTTTATTCCAGTACATCTTTGCTCATGCCCCCCCCCCCCCCATCATTCTGCTTCTTAGGCATTTTGAAGTAAGTTAGCAAACAAGAAAAATACAGTGTAATCCCAGGCATCTTCACATACATTAGGGTCGGATTTTGGGGGTTTGTTTTGTTTTGTTGTGGGGGGGGGTTGCAGCCACACCCAGTGGTACTCAGGGCTTACTCCTGGCTCTGCGCTCAGGAATCACTCCTGGCAGTGCTTGGGAATCATATGGAATGCCAGGTATCAAACCAGGGTAAGCCGCTTGCAAGACAAGCACCCTCTCTGCTATATTATCTCTCTAGACCCAGGGTCAGTACCTCTTATTGATCCCTTTTCCCCACTTCCAAGAGAAAATGCAGACTTAAATACAGATTCACCTGTTGGAAATGAGCATAGTGGATGGACAGTATGCATATCGATATTGAAAGTTTTTTAAATTGCTTATTTGCTTCTGAGACTAAGCATAAGAAAATGGACCAGCCATCTGCCAGTTTCTTTGCAAAATAAAAGGGTGGGTGGGAGAAAACCTGTGCCACTTTGCCTGAAGACTGAGATCGTAACAGACCTTTCGATAGCCAAAGTCTTAAAGGTTATGAACATCCTGCTTTATGTAGAGACAAAAAGAATTTACATCCCAGGTGGTCCTTGAAAATTATAACCTGGCCTTTAGAAATATTCTGAGCCTCGAGGAGTTCGTTGTTAAAGGCAGAATAGAGGAGATTAGAATTTGAAGACTGCTTCCCAGTGTTTCCATTAACAAAGGGTGTAGAGACCCTTGCATTATTGTCATGTCTTTAAATTGCTGCACTGTGTTGAATAGGAAACTTAAAAGCTATACCTCGTAGCTCTCTAGTGCCTCCTCTACTGAATGTGCTCAGTTATCCTGGTATGGTAAGTCAAGTACCGTATTTTATCAGGTAAAAGAGCTAGATCAAAAGAACTAGATAAAAGTTCAGTTTAAAATCATATATAATTTTTTTTTTTTTTTTGCTTTTTGGGTCACACCTGGCGATGCACAGGGGTTACTCCTGGCTCATGCACGAAGGAATTACTCCTGGCCGTTCTCGGGGGACCATATTAGGGGATGCTGGGAATTGAACCCAGATCGGCCGTGTGCGAGGCAAACACCCTACCCACTGTGCTATGACTCCAGCCCTAAAAGCGTATTTAATTTTGAATGTCTCTTAGATCTAGTATCAGAAGGCTAGTAAGTAAACATAACAGGAAAGATCTCAAATATTTCTATTTATTGAAGAAATTTATCTTCTTTTGCAGAAAACTCCAGATGTCAGATTAGAATCTAGTCTACTTGAGGCGGTTATTTAGTCCACTGCCAAAAGCCTTCCCAGTCATTTCCAGGAGCTGCTGAAAGGCAGGTCCAGTGGTCAGCCTGTCACTGATGAGAGAGGTCCAGATAGATATTAAAAGCTCAGGAACTGTTTTCAGCAGTTTAATTGAGTAACTTTGTATTCCTGGTGTTATAAGAAGAAAGCAGGTCGTGCATTTTGTATGTCTGTTTGTTTTATTTCATCTTTAGTGAATTTTATAAAAATGTCAGACTCCGACAAGTTAGAAGTTCCAACAAACTGGTTCTTAGCCACAGTTAGAGTAGAAGGGCAAATTATACAGGACCTTAATGGAACAATATACTAACAATGTTAACTAACCTTAAAATTATTTCCAACTGTTTGAAAGGAAAAACGAATTGAGCTTCGTGTTATAAATATTAATTTCGCCTTGTAAATTTTTATTATGCAAATAATGTTTATTTAACAGTAGGTAATAAGGTAATAATAATAACAGTAGTAATGAAGTCATTATCTTATAGTTGCAAACTCCTAAATCAAGCCCCTCTCATTGTAGAAAGATTTAATGTCCTTTCAGCTAGCAGTAAGCAGTGTGAATATGTACGTACACGTGTGGCTTCATGAGTTTTATAATTAAAGTTTTTCAGCTTTTCCTCATCCTCCCAGCCATGCAAAGTCTTGCAGTGTACTTTTATACTGCCAAATGCTTCTTCAGACCTTTCACCTCAGGTGATACTACCTTTCTTATATACTTGTGGCTGGGAGAATGGCAATCTTTTTTTTTTTTTTAGTTATTTATTTATTGGGGGACGTGGGGGACCACACCTAGCAGTGTTGAGGCCTTATTCCTGGCTCTGCATTAGGGATCCCTCCTGGCAAGGCTTGAGACCATCAAGAGTGAGATAGAATTGGGTTGACTGTGTATAAGACAAGTGCCCTCCCAGGTCTCCTGTCACCCAGCCCCTGAGGCTGGCAATCTTAGATTGTAGAGTATCTGTGACAGCTGTCCTGGCCCTGCCTTTTTCCTTCGAAAGCCCTGTGAGAGGCTGTATAAAGATGAGATATTAATTTTGCACATGGAGAAAGCAGAGGCCCACTCAGATCAATTCTGAGTGTAGAGCATGATGTTGACTTGGGTACAGATTCCCAAAACCGTGAAGTGTGGGAGTGTCCATAGGCTCGAGCATTAAGGAGGCAAGTAGGAGTTTCTGGTTCTGTAGCACGTAGAAGCTAAGTCATAGGTACTATTGGCCTGTGCGGCTTTTTGCCCATTGTTGCATTCCCAGCCCCTAGAATTGTATTTTCCTATGTTATGTCACCTCCATTCACGTATGTAATCTCCTTTCAGCTGAATAAAACAGTGGTAGGGAGGCTGGGAATGTGACTCAATGACAGAGCTCATGACTTAATGTGTGAGGCCCTGTGTTCTGTCCTTGACACCACCAATAAAATTTTTTTTTAATTTTAAAAATCAAGGTATTAATTTAATGGATTTTTTTAACCATAATAAAATGGTACCCTACCTAGTAAGAATTTGCTGGAGTTAGGTTAAATAATAATCTCTATGGACATAGAGAGCCGTGTAAAGGTAAAAGAAGCAGTTTAGTGATTGGTACACTCAAGCCTTCAGAATGACATTCTCCAGATTTCCAAGCAGCGTTTCCTACAGCAGATGGAAAGAAAGCTGGACCTGTAGTTCAAAGACAAGCTGCCTCTTTATGCCCCTCTCCTGGTTTCTTAAGGGATTGTGTGTGTGTGAGTGTGTGTGTTTTGGGCCGCACTTATGGTGCTCAGGGCTTACTCCTGGCTCTGTGCTTAGGGATCACTACTGTTGGGCTCAAGGAGCCATGTGTGATGTTGGGGATAGAACCTGGGTCCGTGGTATGCAAAGCAAGTACACCACCTGCTGTACTTTTTCTGTGGCCCCAAAACATTAAAAACTACAGCCCCTCTATGAAATAGTGACGATGATCAGCCTGAGCATGCTTCTTTCCCAACAAATGAGTGTGAACCTGTATGTGAAAAGAGTGTTTGCTAATGAAGTACCTAGAAACCCTTTCCCAAGAGCATCCACCTCTTCACTGTCCACTCCTCCGGAA